TCTAAATCGTTATAAATCTTCCCGCCCGAAGGCAAAAACTTACCAACCCTATCTTTAGAAGGCGATCAAGTTTCACAACATATACAAAAGGAATATCTAAGATTCTCTTAGAATTCCAACTCAAAATTTCAACCGCTAATTTTCTTTAATTTCCTTGTATGTTTTATTTTATCTCTTGTATTCTTTAACTTTTTATTAATAAATTCGGGATGTGTTCCTTTACACTCCCTCACATAGTGTGGTTCATTTTGGGATTTAAAAAAAAGAGAATATTACCCGAAATAGGACTAAAAAAGTTTGAAAGTTCCAAATAGGACTGCCATGTTTTTATTCTCAAAATAGAACTAATTATTGTCATGTTTTGGCAGTACCAGACTTCAAACATGGCAGTATTTTCTAAACTTGACAGTAATTACTCCTATTTTAGGAATAAAAAACATGACATTCCTATTTTGGAATTTTCAAATTGTTTTAGTCCTATTTCGGGAACTTTCCCTTAAAAAAAAGAATCAAGATCATATTGTTCGAATCAGACCATATAATACGAGTAATAGACTAATTCGAATCAAACTTCTGAAAATATAAAAAAAAGGATGACACCCCATCCCTGAGGGCCCCACAACAACGATCGGACGATACGTTGAAAGGATGTAAATTGGACTATAATCACAATCTGACAGATAAAGAGTGAGACTCTGTCCCCGGTACTTGCAGAGGCCCTATGCATTTTTTAGTATAATAACCTCTCAAGGCCGTTGTCGGGATTCGAACCGGAATCTCGAAAACATGAATGCATCTAAAAACATCACTTTTCAGCTTTCAATAGTGGTTGAACTGGCCTCACATTCGGCTAGTTCCGTTTGGATCTAGTCCTGATTTTTTTTTTTCTGAATTGTGATTGTGTCCAACAGACTAAACCCACATGTTCACACCAGTACATGTTTGTACAAGTCTAATCTGTAAAGTCATAGTGTGTAGCCGCACTTCATTTTGGTGTCATCAGAGTTCTTTTTATTTAATTTCACTTTTGAAACACAATTCAAAATGTCACAATTGAAGGGTGTTGACATTACAAAGGAGCAGATACTACTATAATTGAAGTGCGAGTATATAAAAAACAACAATCCATTCTTTAAAATAAACTATGAGCTCGTTTGATAACATTAAAATTGGCTGAACTGCCTGATTATGTTGAAATTTATGAAATTTTAGATGAAGTCGTTGTATTGGCTAATTCCAGTGATTTATGAAAAAAATATATTTAAAATATTTGTTATTAATAAATAATTTAAAAAATTATATGAAAAATAGCTAAAATGATCCTCTACACTAAATTCAACCAATATAGCCAGAAAACTAACTCCAATGTACCTTATTTTTTCTTATTATTACATAATTTAGCGTGCGAAATCAAAAATTACGTGTTTGGTGGAAAATTTGTCTGATAAGTCAAAAAAGGTGTCACCAAACGGACTGTATATTTGATGGAAGTCAAAATGATGTTATTTTGATTTTAAATTACTACTACGTATAATATAATTGAAGATATGTTTCTACTTCAACCTAATTAATGTTCAATTCAAATTGTTAGGGTTTTGTGACTGAGAACGAGTCCAGGGACGTCTTGGGGTAGCAGGGTACCCGGTTGAGGTGATAACCTGCCTGCTAGGGTTACTCTTCTTGCCCGTGGCTGGAAGAGCGCAATAAGAGCGCAGGGGGGAAGGGGGAAGTCTGTGACTTCTCTCTGGGGATTAATTCTTCTAATGATCGATATTTTATTAAGGCTGAAAAAGGAATATAAATAGGCATCCTGTCTTTACATGCACTACAAAAAAATTCGCATGTAGTCACGGACCGCAGTGTAAAAAATCCGTGACTAACTATGTTAGTCACGGATTTTGTCTAACTAATACTTCTAAATATTAGTTCTAATCTAATAGAGTTCTAGTCTAACTAAAACTATAACCTCTAAATACTTCTATTACTAATAGGTCTTCTGATCTAATAGAAATTGTAACCTCTAATACTTCTATTCCTAATAGGAAGTAATAAATAAAATTTAAAAATAGCATCAGTATTTTATTTAACAATTAATATTATGAGTGTATTACTCCCTCCGTATTAAAATATGTGTATTAAAACAAGTGTCTCAGTAGATTTTTCACGTAATTTAAGTTATTTTACATGTTTATTGTATATTTTTTAAAAAGTAGGAGATTTTTTGTACTTTAGTAGTACTGTTTACTTTATTAAAGGGTATTGTAGCTATTTTTGGATTGGATTTATTTTCTAAAATGAAAGTGGGACATTTATTTTGATACGATTAAAAAAAGGAAAGTGAGACACTTATCGTGATATCTTGGAAGTATATTCTTTTCAATTGAAATAGATTACCATTGTATCACTACTTACGGTGATCGAAACTCGGAAGTGGGGCACGCAACCGCCCCGTGACCTCCAATTAAGTTCATCTACCCCTATAGGTATTAGGTAATTGTGTTGCACTACTTCTAACCATTTCTATTTTGTCAAAAGTCTAACTATTAGCACTTTGAAATTATGGATTTAATACACCACATCCCCTCGCGAAAATATGAATTCGGCGTATTAACCCTTTGTGATTTAAAAAATGCATCAAACCCCTCTGTGTTATACTTATTTATGCGCAAACCCCTTCCGTGAACAAATTTAATTGCCAAATAAATGAAAAATGATTAGTTTTCCTGTATAATTTAAATTTTGTTGAAGAAATTGCTTGCATACTCTATCATACTATTAAAAAAAGTGATTTCAGAATTGTATAATTTGTTCTCGGAGGAGGTCTTGCGCATGAATAATTAAAACACACGGGGTTTGACACATTTTTTAAATCCCGATGAGCTTTGGTGCATTAAACCATTGATTTTTTTAAATGTAACCTTAATCCTCCCCTAAACCAATATGATAAGAAATTTCGGTTTCCCTTTAAAATTCTTTCTTCACCAATTGACGTAGCTCAACTCGATATTTTGAAAATAGTACGTATTATTTGAATTTGAATTTGTCATGATTTGTATTTTTTGCTAGGAAGTAGGAAGGATGTTTTAACTTGAATTGAAATTGGCTAATCTAGTGTCTGATCTAGTCTCATCTGGTTTGAACTGGTCTGGTTTGGTAAATGTCAAGTTTTTGTGTATTTTATAACTATCTAAATCTGGTATGATCCGATCCGATCCGGATTAACATCCTAAGTAGTCTTCATTGAAAGTTGATTTGAAAATATTTTCAGTTTTATGGTACTTTTTTATTAAGATGACAAAAGTAATTGAAAATACACTATGACGGTCATGATTTTCGATTAGATACTTACAAATAAGGCAATTCCAACCAAATTAACTAAGAAATTTATTTGATTAGATATGCCATTTTTGTGTGTTGGAATAATATGAACGCGAACATTTCAGATAATGCTTTTGTAAAGTGGGCATATATTTTACATTGCACCTCAAGAAAGGTCTGATCAGAGAATAATGTTTCAAGGGTCATCAAGACTCGTGCTTTAGAAGCAACCCTTAATTCCCTTATTAGCTTTTAGAAATACAAAAGGTGATTCGCTCACCGGTAATGTAAAGCAAAAGGTAGGTGCCTTAATTCAATAATCTACTGCCCGGCCCAATTATGTAAATAAAGCACCATGGGTCCATGGCCTATTTGATTGCTTTCATACTTGTTTGAACGATTATTTGGGAAATTATTTTGAAATTAATGTTTTGTTGTTGTACTTTCTTACATATTATATATATACATGTTCTGCCAAATGTCAATATTTTTAATTGAGATAAGTTACGAACATGTGACCTTGAATTTGATGAAAGATCGGATTGAAGTTTGTACATATGTTTAGTGCAAGGGGGTTGGTTTTGTGGTGAGGGGGTTCTAGCGCTCTGGTGATCTAAGGGATTATCGGTGAATTGGCCGATGATTCTGCAAGAGTTTGAACTGCAGAAATCAGATCTCCACATCAGGTGTTGAGCCCAGACAACTCCCAAGGGATTCCACGACTGGTGGGGAAGGCTTGGACATCAACGGAGATGCCTGTGGCTGCTTCACCGCGACAGCAGGGTGTCAATACCAACGATGACAATACCTCACCTCTGGTACCTGAACAAGATCTAAAGCTCCCCCATCAGACAGACGACCACATCTTAGACACCCCAAAAGCCAACCCTCCAACATCAGAACTCAAAAAATCAATGGTCACATAGTCACATCTTATGAGGACTAAATCTCAAACACAATTTGGACTTCAAAGACTTGTATGGTCTTGAGGCTTTTCTAGGAAGGGACAATTTAGAGTTGGGTGTTTTGTTAATTTTCCTTTATCATATACGAGTATGTTTTTTCCGTATCAGTAATCTATATTGCTTTTTGTTAATAAAATTTTTTTCCATTAAAAAATGTACAATGTAAGGAACCGTTGATGCATTACCACTATGATCTTTTTTTTGGAGCAAAACACTAATATGATCATAACTACATATAGATATTTGAGTTTTTATACAAAAACATCCTACATACACTACAAAAAAACACTGGAATAGTCAAGAACTAGTGTAACACCCGGGGCAATGCCCCGGTAGTGTCATGTTAATTTGAAATATAATACTCCATCATATATTAAATGTGTAGGAAAAAGATAGCATATATTAATATATGTTTTGAGTTATTTATAGAAATGGTTAATAACATTGTTTATGTTGAAAAATAATATATTACAGGTATATTACTAAAGTTTTGTTGAGAAATGAGAAAGGGATAAAAATTGGTGGCTTAAGATTTATTATTATTATCATTTTTATTATTGTCATTAATATTAGCACGGTAATTTAAAAAAGTTCATAACGTGCAAAGTAACAAAAGTATAGTGAAATGAAAATATTCTTGTGATAAGTATCATACATCGATATGCTATAAAAGAAAATCAAACATTTTGAAAGACTTCTTTGTATACAACATTTGTTGTTGTATTGCATCCTTCTCCTCCACCCAACAAAATTTTCAACCCATTTCTGCTCTTGACTCTTGAAACAGCCACATATAGCTGCCCATGCGTGAATACACTTTTTTCCAAATAAAGTCCAACATGTGCTAGTGTTTGCCCCTGACTTTTGTTGATGGTCATTGCAAAGCATACTAAAATTGGGAATTGTTTCCTCTGAAGTTTTATGTGCAACGTTGTATCTGTTGGGCATAGATTCATCCTTGGAATCAATATTTTATTCCATCTGCTCGGTCCGGTGAGGACTTTGGCTTCCAAGATGCGTTTCCCCAATTTTTTTATCACCCCTCGTGTTCCATTGCATAGACCTGCAGATTGATCAATATTGCGCAATAACATTATAGGGACACCGATTTTGAGGCTAAGCACATGATTTGGCAATCCAGATATTGAAATGCTGTTTAAATATTCTTGTGGATATATGTCATCATCACCAGAACTACTTGTCGCAGTGGGACATATGCTGTCGTAGCTGAAATATTTTACCTCTTCTCCTGGTAACGTTGAGAGGATGTAGTTGTTTATGCCCTCTACTATTTCCAAAGTTGGTGCCAGGATTGCCCTCTCTTCCAAGTAGTCAAAATTTGACAGATTGTTGTGCAAGTCTGGATAAGTACTGTCAACAATGGCTTTGTAGTTATCCCCATTCGAGTGGATCAACAAATCAGGTGGTATTTCAACTTCAATGCCTCTGTCAGACTCCTTACCGATAGTGCCCTCGCCAATCTGTAATATCCACCTAGCAAATCGTTCAACTTCTTCCCTATCCAGCATGTTGCTTTGATGCATCAACCTCATGTTTATTGTGAGATGCTTGACTTGAACATAATCCCATAAGTATGATGAGTTTATTGCCGACATGACAATTTCTTCACGCGTGCCTTTAGGGATTACCGGTAGCGTCTGTCGAAAATCCCCTCATAGAACAACAATTTTTCCACCAAAGGGCAACTCTTCATTCTTTGGATTTACAGATGAGCAAATATCTCTGAGTGTCTTGTCAAGAGCCGCAAAGCAATACTTGTGAGTCATTGGTGCTTCATCCCAAATGATTAATTTTGTGGCTATTAATAATCTTGATTTTGGACTCCCACGCTTGATATTACATGTTGAATTTTCAGCAATACTCAATGGGATCGAAAACCTGGAATGAATTGCAGAATAATATATACTAATGCTAATATATACTATGTATTATATAATTGGAGACTTAAATTATTAATATTAATATAAAACGTAGTTATTATAAATGAAGTATGCAGAATCATTTTAAATTTATGATTATGTTTGATTGCATTAGTATTAACGATTAAATTATTTTTTAATAATGTAGTTTTATTAATAATTGAATTGGAAGTTGTGAAGAGTAAATTGGAACCTGGAATGAGAGGTTCTACCACCGGGAAGCAATAATGACGCAATGCCGCTTGAAGCAACATTAACCAACACTTCTCCTCTGCTCCTCACAGATGCTGCCAATGTATTCCATAAGAATGTTTTTCCAGACCCACCAAATCCATGAACAAAATACACACCTGGTTTGTGAAGATAACGGGTGACGTGTTTAGCATGACTTAAGATATTAATTGAGATATAATAAGTATTCATTAATTTTATGTAGTTTTCCTACCTCCTTGATCTGTAGATATTGCATTAATAACACAATCATAAATTTCTTTTTGTTCAGTCGTTAATGATGGAAGTAACTGCATCAGCTGGCTAGACAATTCTTCCTTATCATACTGTATTTTTTCCCGCACCAATGCGTCAACTACTCGTCCATCATCTATATGTTCTACGACAGGCATCCTTTCAAAGTCAGCCAATGTTCTTCCATTACTCTTTAGAATCTCTTCGATCCTTTGAAGTGCCTTGTCTTGAGCCTCGCTCTCTTAAATAATTTAAGAACATTAATTGTATACATATAATTAAATAATTTAACATGTACAATGATATGTAAAACTAATGTCACTCTTTAAATTGAAAAATAATAGTAATCCTATTTATTCTGTAAAATGCAATATAATTGTTAATGATGTGGAAGCGTACCTGAGACAATGTACGTTATATTTGGATTTCCTGGACCATGCAAGAAATCATCTGCAAGAAGCTTCCAACAATTGGTCCACACGTGCAATGGAGAATGCAGATTCTTTATAAGCAGAAAAGTAGCAAATAATGTTCTTAAGTATGATGCAGTTCCCCATTTGTTCACTTCTTCGAGTGCTTCAACAAATTCTTGATCGTCATCTATAATACCTAGTGCGTGGCAGGCATCTTTGTATGTCGGGTATACGACACCATCCACGGTGCGAACATCTTCAAAAGACTGACATCCTTTAGCTTTATTGAGTAGTATCCTTAAGTACCAACACTCGCCCGATCCCGGAGGTATGTTATGTATTCTCCCAATGCATGAGCGTTGTTGTCTTTTCACCCAAACTTTTGCACTCTCTTTCCATGTATACTTCATGGGAAATTCTGCGTAAGAAAGTGTTCTACCATCTGGATCAACTCTATTAGTTTCAAACCACGCAGCGAGCGTGGTTTTTTGTACTTTGGACTGCTGCACCACCTATTATTTTTGAAAATATTAAAATGAAATTGTTAGTAACTATTATTATATTCAACTATTTTAATTGAAAGTCAGTTTACAAAACTTACCTGCTCAATTTCTTGATGTTCATTGTATACCCCATATTTCTGATTGGGGAGATGACAACTCAGTCTTTCAACAGCCGGGATTCTGTAATGTATATCAAAGCTCAATATCCTCCACATACCTTCTGCGGCGCTAATATACCTGCAATTGCAGTAAGCTTTAATCTCATCATGTACGACATAGTTGTTCTCTGCTGTATCTTTTTCATATAATGCAGCGGTAACACGGTCGTGACCTTTATTGACATACTTGAAGAGATATTTTATAGATCTCGCCTTATAGCACCACTCGACATTTATGTGGGCGCAATACTTTCTGAGCAAGTACGGATTATATGGCACAACATATCTTTTATCAACCGGTATTTTATTTTTTTCGGCCGTGATACCGGTATTCCTTCTTCTATAGATTGGATAACCATCTTCACGCACTGTTGTGAATTGGTTAAAAGTTCTTGGATAATATTTGCCACACTTTCCGTTTTCCATGCACAGTGCTTTCTTGTTTAGATATCCACATGGTCCATGGATCATTGTGCTTTGCACCGCATTAAAGAGCTCATAGTCGAGATTCGGATCCGACAATTCGGCTGATATGACTTTGTCTATATCATCACACTCCCTTAGTTTGAACTATGGTTGTAAGAACAACACAATATGGGAATGCGGCAGTCCCCTTTTTTGAAATTCTATCGTGTAGACCACTGCATATAAAATGCGACATATAGTACTATCATAGTAAGTGAAATGTCACCATATAAAAATGACAGAAATATTTATTTTTGAATAAATGGAATAATTTTTTTTATAAAAGGTATTACGTGAATAGAGAAAGTAGATGAGTGATAAAATAATGTAAGGCATGGTAAGATAATTCACTAATACACATTTATGACATTTGTTAAAGAGATATTACCCAAAATAGGACTAAAACAGTTTTCAATTCTAAAATAGGACTGTCATGTTTTTATTCCCAAAATAGGACCAATTACTGCCATGTTTTGGTAGTACCAGACTTCAAACATGACAATATTTTCTAAACATGCCAGTAATTAGTCCTATTTTGGGAATAAAAAATATGACAGTCCTATTTTATAATTTTCAAACTTTTTTAGTCCTACTTCGGGAACTTTTCCTTTTTTAGTTATGTAATTATAAAATCGCAGGACAATATTTTTGTTAATTATAATGAAATTAATGTAGTTCTGTTTATTAAAAATGTCAGAGCTTTGAATCTTATGTTAGACATCCACCTACACATCCCATTAGTCCATCTAAGATATATTACACTATAATACCATTATTAAGATAAGTAAAATTGTGTGCATGTGTTAACAAAGTAAACATTTTGTCAAAAGTAAAACTTACATGCTCTTGGATGGCCGAATATATTCTGATCTTTCAAATCGGCTATCAAATTGTTTAGCTTTATCTTAAAGACCCTTGTAACCAAATCGGGCCGATCTTCTGGTCTCACTCCCGCCTTTTTTACTTCTCTCTCTATTTCTGGTCATTTGGGATTGCACGTAAATGTGATGAACAAATCCGGGTTTCCGAATTGTGTGACTATCGCCATGGCATCTTGGTAATTTTGTATCATATACCTTGCACCTCCTGTGAAAGAAGATGGTAAAATAATTCTTTTGCCTTGAGTGTTTGGGTTTGTTTCGCCTCTTACAACCGCATCGGTTAACCCATTATAAACATCTGCTCTTAGCTTCTTTTGATTTAGCCGGACATACTTCAAGCGATCACTTTCTATCATCGTATAAGCATCAACAATAAATTGATGAAATAGTCTTCGTGATCATAGAATTGTACTAAATTCGACATCCCTTTGTTGAAGCCTGTAGGCAAAGAATTCTCTCATTGTGACATCTTTCCGTTTGATAGCATCTCTACCTTCAACTTGTCTATACTTGATCTCTAATCTATACCCATCTTCTCCATATGAAAATAGTATGGGATATTGCAAGGCCAAATATGAAGGATGGAGCTCATTAATGCGTTGCAAAGTGCGATCTTTGTGCTCCAAAATAATATCACGGTGAGAAGACATACTATCCAAATCTCCGACTATAAGAACAGCCACTTCAGATGCAGTGGGCAAATTATATGTTCTTCCATCTCTTTCACGGTTACAGAGTAGTCTGAGTTTGAATTCTGTTTGTGGTGCTTCTTGGAATCTATCCCTTGCAGAACGAAAGCACTTCGCCAACTCATTGTGTTGGTCCATCATATCTTTCAAGCCATGAACTATTTCTGGATCGAGCTCATTTGATGATTCTGATTTCCTAAATTCACAAAAAATGAAAATATCAATGTATTTATTCGTGTAATGAAAAAAATATTATCTAATAAATTTAAATATTTTACCTGGGCAATTTTTAATATGGATTGTTTAACTTTAATTTAAATTTATTAAGGCTAGATAAATTATTCTTTAAAAAAAGGTTAGAAAATTTATCCATATATTTCTATGATTAATCAAACAGATTGTCTAAAAAAAGACATTCAAACATGTGTAATTAATTAACCGTATAAGTATTTAGTTAAGAAGTCATGCATATAAAAAATTATTCAAACCGATACCATTCCTAATATATAAATTTATATTAGTAGACAATAAAGTAAGTGTGTTACAAACTTACTCTAATGCACGAAGTCTGTTCGGTATCTCATTCTCCGTGTCATAAATATAGAGCGTGAGAACTTAGGTTTGCTCGAATCAACTGGTAGCAAGCTTCCCATCAAGTGATAATTTTGACCATGCATTCGATATACATAGGGTCCTCCGGAATTATTGAGTTCTTTTTGTACCTTGCCCCCCAACGAAGTAAATGCAAACATCATATTATATGCCCTAATATTGTTCAGGAACTTTGTGCTTCTTCTATCGCTACCTTTGAATAGTTCTAAAAGAAAATCAGGTGGTTGTTGTAGCGATGGTAAAAGAACCTGTCCTTGTTGACAACACATTGAAAATTTAGGACTGTTGGTGTTGACTTTTGGAGAAAGTCTTTCTCCATACCACATTTTGGAGTAGCAAAATTGGCATGTGTGGTCCATAGACCCAATGTCATGATATCCTATTCAAATATGGTAAATTTTTAAAAAAACAACCTATTTGTAAATGACATGAATAAGGTGTGTTTATGAGAGAGTTAGGAAATCACACTACATATAATATGTATTAAATTCATAAGATTGAGATAAATGTTAAATGTACCCGGAAAATTCATAACAATGGACGGTGCATGTTATGGTAACAGTAAGAATTGATGCGGGTTGAGTTGGGGGCATTCCTTTCGTTGGCGGGTTCTGGTTTATGTTGTAAGTTTACTCTGCAACAGTTCTCATGTTCTTAAAATTGTTGCAGATAAAGTTACAGTCTGTAGCACCACTGTGAGCAGTATAGCCTTCATGAAATATATTGTTTCCATAACAGAACCCTTACAAAAATCTTGTGGAAGTTAACAATATAGGATTTAAATTCAACAGATCGATAGTGGGTGGTTGGGCTGTTAGAAGCTAGCAAATATGGCCCGACACCATGCACATTTAAAGTCTATATGTGCACATTATCATATGTTGAAATAACTTCAGCCTTATAAGTTATGGTGATTTCATGTGCCAACAATTTGTTTGATATGTTCTGCTCCATCCCTCTCCCTTAGAGATAAGAAAGGAGAAATAAGGTGGCTTTAGACATAGTAAATTTAGTTTATAGTATCAAGCCTCAATGCAATTTGCTCATTGAAATAGGAAGTCTAGTTCCTAGTACAAAGTCCCCCACAGCCCACCCCACAAAATTGACCAAGTAGTGTTATGTTATTGGGGTTTTTAAATTTTCTAAACACTTGTTAAAAGATGCAGAGTATGATTTAGTGTAGTTCTCACAGTCAATGTTTTTACCATGTTATGACCTCTGTCTTCATAAGGAGTCATGTTTCATGGATTTAACACTCTTAAGGAGTCAGTATAAATTTTCTACATATGGAGTACTTCTGAATAACACCCAGGGCAAACTCTAAAGGAGTCATGTTATCCGATTACTTTGGATTTTGATTTTTTTAACCGAGTCACAGGCACAATGAAATTCAATGTGATTGCTTTTCTCTATTTATCTAATTCAACCTATAATAATTAACACTATTTATAGTGTTATCTAAATAATAACTATTTAGATAACACTATTTATATAAGTAAGTATAATTATTACGGTACTGTCATGTAATTGAACCTATAGTGTTAATTATATTTATTGACACCAAATTTCATGCCTCTAACATGATTAATTTAAGATATTTATATGCAAAACATAAGTAATAAATCTATAAAATTGCTGCAATTTAAACATACATTTTCATCAATTAAAAGTAGTTCGTAAGAAATAAATTGATTCGGATTGGACTGACGAAAACTATCCCAATGAGTGACCAGCCTTGCACGTAAAGACCTGATTTGCTTTCGATTAGAGACCTCGTTGATGCAATCATATTGCACCATGAAAGATGGGTGAGAAATAACCATTATTTTAAGTGTAATAACTCTCTGGGTTGTGATGTTGTATGCTAATTGGTATTTGCACTGCCGTAAATGTTTTATTATTTATACAGGTTGATTCATAAGGGATACGGCAAGATGTTTGAGAGTTGAGTTCTAATAGCCTTGGGAGTGTTTAGCTTCAGCGAGATGGAATTTGAGTCCTATTCCAAATGACTTACTCTTTGTTATGTGAATTAATAGACCTGGGAATTTATCTTCACGGATTTTAATTAAATTCGTTATGGAGTTTATCTTTCGTTATGTGAGTTTTCCGTATTCAAAATGTCATTTTAATTAATAGACCTGGGAATTTATCTTCACGAATTTGAGTCCTATTCCAAATGTCATTTTTAATTAATACACCTGGCAGTTTTCCTTAGTTTTAGGATTACCGAGAAGTTAGAATTTATCATATTGACTTTTCGTTATGTGTGATTTAAATGATTTAATATAGGAGTTTTATTCCAACTTCTCTTAACGAATAAGATTATGACATGTCAGCCCTTTAAAACTGAGTTTTACTATTAAAACAATAGATTTTGTTAGGGGTCACAGTTCAAAATATCCCTAACAAATAGGGGTGAGCAAATAACCGATTTAACCGACCTGACCGAAAATCGATGACCGAACCGACCAAAAAAATCGGGCTTCGATCGATTTTCGGTTATAATAAAATAAAAAGAATTGGTTATTCGGTTATTCGGTTTTTATTCGATTATATTTATCGGTTATTGGTCGGTCACCGATAACCGTCCAAAATATATAAGTATATATACTCCATAGTAGAGTAGTTAAATACTCCATAGGAACCGCCGTTCGGCCGACGGATTTTGGGGCTCTTCCCGGTGGAGTTTTTTGATGAATTTTTTATGGCATGTTCTTCATTAAGTCTAGTTTATCCACAAAAAATTTAAGCTAAATATTCCATCGGGAAGGTCATCAAATGGTTTTTGGAAGTTAACTGCGCTAAAAAATACATATAAAACGCAGTTAACTTCCAAAAATCATTTAACGAGCTTCGCGATGGAATATTTAGCTGAAATTCGGTCGGTCGATCAAATAACCGACCAAATGATTTTGTTAGGGATTTTGTCAACGAATTCATCCCCGACTCCAGCGCCCTGACAAAACTATTGTTAGGGATCTGGTGTCCTTGACAAACGTTTGTCAGCGCATTGTCAGGGATTTATCCTCTACAACTGAGTGCCAGTCACCGGCGAGATTTGTCGGGGATTCAAATCCCTGACCAAATTCAAAATATTTCTGCAGTCCAATTTCCATGGTTAGGGATAATTCCCTGACAAATTCAAAATTCGAATAATATTTTATTTACATAGTCAGGGATAATTCCTAGACAACATTGGAAATTGCAGTGAAGTATTCAAAATTGTAGTGAGGGATAAATCCCATACAAATGTTTTTTTCAAATGTACGAATACTATTATTTAAATTCATATATATATATATATATATATATATATATATATATATATATATATATATATATATATATATATATATATATATATATATGCGGTCAATATAATAAATCAAACTTGTGAGGGATATATCCGTGACGAGAATCCAAAAACGTAAAAAAAAATTAAATTGTTTTACAACGGATATTTCCGTAACAAAAATATGAATACAATTAAAAAAACCATGTACATCAAATTGACTTCCTGATTTACTTTCGGGCTGACCGCCGGGCTGACCGCCGGGCTTAAATTCGGGCTGACCTCCGGTCATATATCCCCCCGGCATACCCCCATCCCCCGAGGCATCGTCCCCGGCATCCCCCGAGGCATCGTCCCCGGCATCCCCCGAGGCATCGTCCCCGGCATCCCCCCTGGCAGAGGAGTGAAAAACTGCTGGCTGCCAGGCTGAGAATAGCAACTACCATAGGGGAACCCTTGGTTATATCCGCCCACCATAGCCATTTGAGATTGTTGCCTTAATGTAGCAACCATAGCACGCATTTCCCGCATTTCAACTTCTCGGGCTTCTTCTTTTTCCTGCTGTCTTTTTAACATCTCTCGTAGCTCATCAACTTCTTGCCGAGAAGGTCCGGGTTGAGAGGAGGAACCACAACCACGGGATATTTTTTAGAATAGTGCGAGAGAGCGAGCCCATTCCCCGTAACATATTAACTGGTGTTTATGGTAACATATTAACAAAGATGTAAGAAGATTAAATGGAAGATAACCAGTAAACAACCAAGAATTTTAAATGGAAGATAACCAGTAAGAATTTTAAATAGGAAAAGGAAGATAACCATTTCATAAGATGTAAGTGGAGATGTAATAGATATAATTGAGTGCAAAAGGTCCGAAAAAATAGTATTAAAATAGGAGATAACCATTTTCATATGATGCAAAAGATTTTAATTTTAAGAAAGTGTCTGAAATACTCTAAAAACGTGTTCACACAGTTGAGATAATAATAGAAAAGTATGAAAAATGTATTTACTTATTTTAAAAATTATTTGAAATTTTAGGAAGAACTCAAAAGTTCGAACTAGCAATTTCATATAGCGAAAAAGTATTTCATAAATTGAAAAGCCGGAAAATTTGAAAAGATTGACAGTGTGCAGTGATGAACATTCACAGTACGACTTAGAAGATACAAACATAGATTTAAAGGAGAATTTCAAAGTTAAGCATGCATAAAACCAAACTTAAAATCGGAGACATGCATAGGAATGTAAAAACTTGAAAATATTTAAAGTAAATGAAGAAAAAACGGAAGATGTGACCTGAACCGTAGAGGAGGAGGCCTTCGATAGCGGCGGAATCGGATTGAGAGGCGGAGGCCGGTGGATTCGAAGGCAGTGGCGAAGAAGGTTTAGGGTGGAGTGGGATTCCAACGCAGCGGCGAAAAAGGTTTAGGGTTGTGGGAGAAGAGGATGTGCGAAAAAATGCATAGAAACATTTATATAATAAAGAGTTAGTCAGGGATAAATCCCTAACAAGTTCAATGTAATTTGAAATTCGAATACATTATTAATTAGAAACGGCACATTTTTCAATTGACGCAGTACTTAGGGATGTAGTGAGGGATAAATCCCTGACTAAACACATTGGAAATCGGTTTTTCTGTCACCTTGTGTAAAGAGATAGTCAGAATGGGGAGATGTGCGCCGATTGACTTTTAAACTAGTCAGGGATTCTGCCTTAACAATGTATATTTTAATTTTTTATAAATTATTAAAAATCTATTAATACAAAAAGGAGGTAAAAGTTTAAAATAAATTGATAGAGTATATAGACTCGGACCCCCGGGTCTCATGACTATTGGACCCGGACAGCGGCCCACATACGCTCGATAGATAGCATTTATTTCATTGTACACTCTATTTTATTCATGTATACCCGTTAGAATAGATTAAATACCATTTGTTAGCCATTTATTGGCCTTTTATTGTAAATGGGCCTTCCAGGCCCAAGCCTGGAAGCCCAACCCGCTTTTCTCCTATAAATACTCCCTAAGGGAGCCATGTAAAGGGTTGGAAATTCATTAGATATATCACTTTATCTCTCTAGCTCTCCCTTCTCTCTAGGAGTTAAAACTCCATCAAATGGTGCTTTCATTGAGAGCTAGAAAACATCAAGTGAGACCCTCCCAACTTGATACTCTTCAGCCTAATTGGTGGAAGCTGGACCCATCAGCCAAGATGCCACATCGGCCCAATTGGGAGTCAAGTGTGGCATAGTGCAACTTAACCGCCAACTCAATCCTCAATCAAAAAAACAAAACAAAAACAATGGACCCCTCCATGTAGTGGCAGAGCACTACACGCACGGAGCACCTTCGGCCAAGCTTGAACGGAGGGGACAAGTACGCCAGCGGTACACCATCTGCCAAGCAGGGGAACAACTTGATAGTCGACCCGTCGGCCAAGGGAGACTCTTCTATCAAAGCTATCTCCTCGTCCGTGGACTTAAGACAGGTGACCACGCAGTTCCTTCGGCCAAGCTCCTTCGGTCAGACATGAACCGGTGACAGGCCAAGCTCCCACGACGGTCTAACAAAAGAAAAACCATCGGCCAAGCAAGGGAAAGGCAGTTCCTCCGGCCAAGCTCAGCGCCCCTCATCTGCAACGGCCCCATCACCACGCAGTACCCCTCGGTCAAACATGAACTGGTGACAGGTCAGGTGTTGCACCCTTTGTCCTGGGAACATCTGCTTCCAAATGCCCTTCCTCGCCCAGACTGCAGCGGTGGACTCCACCGGCTCTCAGCTCCAATTTGGCAGAAATAGCCAGAGCTCTTCACAGCTTCGGCCAGACAATCGAGGGAGACGGCACATCGGCCAAATAGGTTCTTCATCCAAAATCGGAGACAACTCGTCCGGAACAGGACCCTCGTCAACCGCGTTGTCCCCGTTCACCATCGGCGCCGAATTGGGGAGCCGTCGTCCAGAGCGGGACCCTCGTCCATCCGTCATCTTTGGTCACCATCGGCCCCGAATGGCGGATCCTTCGGCCAGCACTTCACAACTCTACCAAAATTCGAAACAAAGAACAAGGCGGAGAGCAGTACCTCCTTCGTCCTGACCGATAGGTTTCAAACACCGGCCAAGGTAAGCATGAGAACATTCAGGCCAGCAAATACCATGTCCCGTCGGTGAAGTCTGACACCGGAGAAAACAGGGTCACCCCGACCAAGCTCAACCTTCGTCCGGCTGGGAAATCGAGACCACCTCGGCCAAATTCCCCCAAGAAGATGGTAGGCCTCGTCTGTACAGATCCACAAGCACCGCCCCGGCCAAAGTCAGCCTCCGCCTCAAGGTGACACCTCGTCCCCAGCGTCAGGAGGAGCCGGCTCTCGCCAGAACGGCCCCTCGCGCAGGCGCTGACCCACGGTCGTAGGCCTCCACCGGTGGAACCTCTCCAAGGCCATGCCAGGGGGAGCCCCCTCGTCCATCCACCTCCCACTGCGCAAGTGGGCAGAATATCGCGATTGGAGTCGTGTGGAATTTTAAGGCATCGGGCCTCAATCAAAATGACTGGTGGGCTTCCCTTAAAGTTTCCTCTTGGGTCAAGACACTCAAAACAAGCTCCTGGGCCCAATCACAAGGCACACTCTCAACGTCTCATACCATGCTTCGAATATAAGCTAAGTACTCCAAAATTTCCTCCTACTTATGCATTAAATATGGAGCCAAATAGTTTTACTGCTATTATTGTTATCTATACTTTCTAGCCGGTTAAAATCCCCAAAGTGGTGCAACTGAATCTCTAGTTTACTGAACATCTTTATTTGATGATTTGAATTATATTTGGGTCCCTCGACCTACCCTAGCCACCTTTATTTGGTGACTCGGGCATCTAAAAATGAGAGCCGCTACCGGCCGCATACAGCATTGTGCCTAAAAGCGGTAAACAGTACACCTCGTTCTCCGAGACGCTAATCGCGTCGCCCAAAAGACGTTGTCATGAACAACACACCTATTGAATTTCAATTATTTTTTGAAAATGTAAATAGAAGATACCACGTATCGTGTCAGCAACCATAGAGCGAAAAGGACTCAGGTATGCTTCATTGTATTTTGTATTAGAAAAGGGCTCAGGCATGGCTGAGAGAGCACGTCGTATCGGCCCTTTAGAGCGAGACGCTCAGGCGGGGCCGATGACGTCCCCAGGACGAGGGGCCCGCAAACGGCCCGTGTCTTGAAATGGGAAGTTCACCGCGTCGTCCACGCGCCAGATCGCAGGACGACAGGCCTGAAATCATGGCCGAAGTGACAAAATCCCCAAACTCGGGGTTGGGCAACGGCAGCCGTTGGAAACCAACCAAAAGTCTAGCCCGCGTCATATATAGGCGACGGGACCCCCCCCCCCCCCCCCCCCCGAGACCATGGACGTTATAAACGAAGTCCAAACCGGCCGGAGGACTATCGACCCCTTCGGCCGAAGCCTGAAAAAAGGACACTCCCCGAAATAGGGAACAAAAAAAAGAGGGAAGCCGCGGACCGCGCACTCGCCGACCTCGAGCAATGAAAAATAAAATCCCCAAAATTTGACTAAGTACATATCAGACAAATATTATACATGTCAGACGAGCGTCCAGCGCCGTCCCTCATTTTTTAGACGAGCGCCCAGCGCCGTCCCTCATTTTCAGACGAGCGCCCAGCACCATCCATCATCTCAGACGAGCGCCCCGCGCCGTCCCTCATCTTCAGACGAGCGCCCGGCGCCGTCCTTAGACGAGCGCCCAGTGCCGTCCTTCATCTTCAGACGAGCGCCCAGCGCCGTCCCTCATCTTAGACGAGCGCCCAGCGCCGTCCTCCATTTTTAGACGAGCGCCCAACGCCGTCCCTCATCTTAGACGAGCGCCCATCGCCGTCCTCCATTTTTAGACGAGCGCCCAACGCCGTCCCTCATTTTCAGATGAGCGCCCAATGCCGTCCCTCATCTCAGACGAGCGCCCAGCGCCGTCCATCATGTCAGACGAGCGCCCATCGCCGTCCCTCATTTTTTAGACGAGCGCCCAACGCCGTCCTTCATTTTCAGACGAGCGCCCACCGCCATCCATCATCTCAGACGAGCGCCCAGCGCCGTCCCTCATCTTAGACGAGCGCCCCGCGCCGTCCTCTATTTTTAGACGAGCGCCCAGCGCCGTCCCTCATTTTCAGACAAGCGCCCAGCGCCGTCCCTCATCTCAGACGAGCGCCCAACGCCGTCCATCATCTTAGACGAGCACCCAGTGCCGTCCTTCATCTTTAGATGAGCGCCCAGCGTCGTCCCTCATCTTAGACGAGCGCCCAACGCCGCCCTTCATTTTTAGACGAGCGCCCAACGCCGTCCCTCATTTTCAGACGAGCGCCCAGCGCCGTCCCTCATCTCAGACGAGCGCCCAACACCGTCCCTCATCTTCGGACCAGCTCCACCGTCCTTCATGTTCAGTCCGGCGCCAACGCCTTGCCCTTCCTCATATGACGACCGGCCCCTCGGCCTCGGCGTGATCATCTATCTCAAGATCGGCTTCCTCAGCGCCGCGAGTCTTGAGCTAGCGATTAGGCTCACCATCCCTTCCTGGATGGTGACCATCGCCTTTATATGACGATCGGCTTCATCAGCGCCTCGTCATCAAATTATAGGACTGGCTCCTCATCGCCGTTGTCCTCACATCACGACCGACCCCCTCGGCCTCGGCGTGATCATCTATCTCAAGACCGGCTTCCTCAGCGCCGCGAGTCTTGAGCTAGCGATCGGGCTCGCCATCCCTTCCCGGATGGTGATTATCTCCTTTATATGACGATCGGCTTCATCAGCGCCTCGTCATCATATTATAGGACCGGCTCCTCATCTCCGTTGTCCTCACATCACGACCGCACCATCGCCCCGTTGTCTTTATTTGACGACGTGGAGCTCTTATGCAGGCCCCTCGGCCGCATCATCGCCCCAACATCTTTATTTGACGACGTGGAGCTCTTATGCAGGCCCCTCGGCCGCACCATCGCCCCGTCGTCTTTATTTGACGACGTGGAGCTCTTATGCAGGCCCCTCGGCCGCACCATCGCCCCGTCGTCTTTATTTGATGACGTGGAGCTCTTATGCAGGTCCCTCGGCCGCACCATCGCCCCATCGTCTTTATTTGACGACGTGGAGCTCTTATGCAGGCCCCTCGGCCACACATCGCCCCGTCGTCTTTATTTGATGACGTGGAGCTCTTATGCAGGCCCCTCGGCCGCACCATCGCCCCGTCGTCTTTATTTGACGACATGGAGCTCTTATGCAGGCCCCTCGGCCGCACCATCGCCCCATCGTCTTTATTTGACGATGTGGAGCTCTTATGCAGGCCCCTCGGCCACACATCGCCCCGCCGTCTTTATTTGACGATGTGGAGCTCTTATGCGGGCCCCTCGGCCACACATCGCCCAATCGTCTTTATTTGACGACGTGGAGCTCTATGCAGGCCCCTCGGCCATACATCGCCTCGTCTTCCATATTCGACAACGTGAAGCTCTCGTACAGGCCTCTCGGCCCATCGGCCTTACATTCTGGTCATCTTTATTTGATGAACCAAACATCATATTGTGGACGGTCGCTCGACCCATCCCTTAGTCATCTTTATTTTATGACTAGGACTACTGATCATGATGAGCTACCCACATCTAGAGATCGGCCTCGACCATCCCCCAGCAGACGGGCACCGCTGCAACTCCATCTCCAGGCCAAAGGGCTCGCACCTTTTGTTTCATTTTGGGGGCATCCGATGTACTCTTTTTCCCTCATTAGGATTTTTTCCCACAGGGTTTTTCCTAATGAGGTTTTTAACGAGGCATCTCCCCATCGTGGATCAAAAGGTGTCAACCCTCGGCCCCCTGTTGAAGACATCATCCGACACGCATTACTCTACTCCTCTTCACCTCATTACACTCGCCTCAAGGAGTGGGGGACTGGAAGAGCGGGGGACTTAGCGCCTCTGTTAACCAAAGAAGCACAAATTCAAATTTTTGTTCACGAAGTTTACTCACCAGACGACGATAGATCAGCACACAGTTCTACTCTCTTTCGTCTCGAATACTCTCGACTCAGAGAGTGGGGGACTCCTGATAGAGTATATAGACTCGGACCCCCGGGTCTCATGACTATTGGACCCGGACAACGGCCCACATACGCTCGATAGATAGCATTTATTTCATTGTACACTCTGTTTTATTCATGTATACCCGTTAGAATAGATTAAATACCATTTGTTAGCCATTTATTGGCCTTTTATTGTAAATGGGCCTTCCAGGCCCAAGCCTGGAAGCCCAGCCCGCTTTTCTCCGATAAATACTCCCTAAGGAAGCCATGTAAAGGGTTGGAAATACATTAGATATATCACTTTATCTCTCTAGCTCTCCCTTCTCTCTAGGAGTTAATACTCCATCATAAATCTATATATTTTATTACAACAAAGGCTTGAATTTTTTTCATTAGATTAAAATAAATATTAAGGACAAAAATATTTGAGGAATATATTATTAAAATGCATTAGATTAACACATTTTCAAATTTATGAGTTTTAATACATGAAATTATACAATAATAAATGGACTAATAATTAACTATATATAATGATACAATTAGTAACGACATGAATATATATAATTTACACATGTCCATTGTACATCCAATTTATAATTTATCTATACATATTTGATATATTATATTAAAAATAGCTCCATTCAATTCTAACACTAACATTTATTACTAAAAGTTAATATATATTCAAAAACTTAATTTAATAAATGAAATTAAACAATTAATAATAAATGGACTAATCAACTATATATAATGATACAATTATCTAGCAACATAAATATCTATTGTTTACTTAAAATGATTTTTTTTGGCAAAACATAAAATGATTTATTATAACAAGTGTAATGCTTTAAATAAACTAATACTCTATTCAATTAAATATGTATTACATAAAAAACAAAGATATACATTTAATACATACCATATTATTTGAAACACGCATTTGGCTCTAGAAATTCATCCAATTTCATCATTTTGAGTACTCCACAAACACATTATAATACTCTCTATAAAATTATACACCATAAGAATGGAATGAAACTAGCTAAAATGGCAAGCATATATAGAAAATTTTGTCAGGAATTTTGTTAAGGATTTTGTCAAATGGTAACATTTGTCACGGATGTTGTCAGGGATGTGTAACGGTCGGAATTTCACTTATAACGTTAACTTTTTACACGGAAAGATCCGTGACAAAATTGTAAAATGTTGATTTTTTATTTAGTCACGGAACAAATCTGTGACAATTATCAATTTTAACTGTTGTCAGGGATCACGTCCCTGACAAAATGAAACGGCTACTTTTTGCAACTTGTTTTTGATAGGGATTTGTTCCCTAACAAATATTCCGGCCAAAAAAGCCGGCCGGTGCCGTGTTTGAGGGTTCTGTCAGGGATTTTGTTACGGATTTTGTCCCATACAAATTTTGTTATGGAAGTATCCCTGACAAAACTGTTTGACCGATTTCTTCTGAAATCCCTAACAAAATCCCTGACAAGATTGTTGGGGACCGTATCCCTGACTAAAATCTTTGACAAAATCAGTATTTTTTTGTTGTGATAATGTACATATATACTCATTTAGTGATTTTTATAGTATAATTTGTTTGGAAGTAAGATGATATAAATACAAAAAAGTGACTGAACGTAAGAGCAAATTTGAAACGGATTCCGCTTTTTCTTTTCAAATGGCAAATGTGAAATTAATTTTTTTCTACGTTCGTGAAAAAATGATTTTTGAAGTGTTTGATATTACTGATTTTGTTTGTTTTTGAAAAAAAAATAACTTAATTATTATTAATGAAGATGACAAGAAAGATTACAATCATAAAGCTCAATGCTACAATGGGATGAGACATAGAAACAGACGATTCTAATCGAAAACGCCGAATCGCTAATCCTGCAAAGAAGTAGACTCTACCTGCAGATTGACTGCTCCTACTACGATGATAATAATTATCAAAAGAATTCTTAAATATCCCGGTTTCTCCCGCCACTGGTATGGAGTCAATTGTAGAGTTTGTTCCGATTTCACCAGTCATCGAAAATAAAGCAATCCAAATGATCTCATCTTCCAGGAACGACGGTGGTTCAGGAGGGGGCGATCCATCTCTATATCAGCGCAGAAGAAAATCATGTTTTTGATTGATGAAGAGATCAGTGCAAATCTCTTCTAATGCACATTGAATTTCACCTAATGCACATTATAGTTTCATCTAATGCACATTGAATTTCACTTAAAACAAATCTAACGGTCCAGATTCATTATTATTTCTCTCCTAAGATCATGTTCTTATTTGAACCAAAACCTCTCTCTATACCTATATAGGGATTGGTTCAAATAAAAAGTGATCCCTAGGTGAAAAATAAGAACTAATTTAGGCCTTTAAATTGATAAAATGAATGGATCAGATCAATTTTTAAAGCAAAAACGCGGTGGCAATATGGTAATTATGCACAACTTTTATTGGATCCGCTAAAGTAAAAGTGAAGCGTTGTGTAGAAAAAGTGCAATACAAGATAGTAAAAGTGCATCACGCTTCGAAATAAAATAAGTACAAAAATCGAATTGTAACTATTTTTAATGAAGTAAGTATGCACTTTTACATATCGTATATACACTTTTAGTATTAAGTATTGCACATTTCGGTTTAGTATTTCCTAACGTGATTTTTGATCCATTCCATTCATTTTGAAATGATCAAGGGCTTAGATCACTTCTTACTTTTCATGGGAAGACCCCTTTGTATTAGAACCAATATATATATATATATATATATAAGAACGTGATCATATGAGAAAAATAAGAATCAAATCTGGACCGTTAGATTTGCTTTATGTGAAATTCAATATGCATTAGATAAAGATGTAATGTGTATTAGGTGAAATTGAAATGTGCAACACAAATGGTACAATGTAATGACATTATGTGAAGCTAAATTGTGCATTAGGTGCATTTGAAATGTGCACTAGATGAAACTAAAATGTGCAGAATAAAAGGTACGATGCGATGTTATTTTTGTACCTTTTATTATGCACATTTCGGTTTCAATTTCATATTTAGGAGAGAAATGAGAATGAATCTGAACCGTTCGATTTACTTTAAGTAAAATTCAATGTGCATGAGATTAAACTGTAATGTGCATTAGGTGAAATTAAAATGTGCAACACAAATGGTACGATACAATGTCATTATGTGAAGCTAAATTGTGCATTATGTGAAATTGAAATGTGCACTATGTGAAACTGAAATGTAGAGAATAAAAAGTACGATGTGATATTATTTTTGTACCTTTTATTCCGCACATTTCCGTTTCATCTAATGCACACTTGAGTTTAATTTTTTATTCTGCACATTTCAATATCATCTAATACAAATTTCAGTTTCACCAAACGCAAAATTCAGTTCCACATAATACAATCCAACGGTCCAGATTCATTCTCATTCCTCTCCTAGGAGTCCGTTCTTATCGGAACAGCTCCCTATATATATATATATATAAGTGAGAATGCATCTGGTGCGTTCATTTTAAGATCTCCGCATCAGATTAGCAAAAAAGTGCACGGGAAAGTGTAAAGAATATTAAAAAAGTGATGCTAGACGTGTGGCATTTCCGTAGTTAATCGAAACTTTTCTGCCATCGCAAAAAGTGCATCAGAATAGGAAAAAGTGCATGAGAAATAGGTAAATGTGTAACTTCTCACTTCTCACGTTAAGATGTCTTCTCATTACAACCCGACCCTATATTTCTACACACACACACACACACACACACACACACACACACACACACACACACACACACACACACACATATATATATATATATATATATATATATATATATATATATATATATATATATATATAAGGAGCGGGTCCGGTAAGAACGGATTCTCAAGAGAAAAAACAGAACAGATTTGGACCGTTGGATTGTATTATGTGGAACTGAATTGTGCATTTCGTGAAACTGAAATGTGTATTAGATGCTATTGTAATGTGCAAAATAAAAATTTAAACTCAAATGTGAATTAGATGAAACTGAAATGTGCGGAATAAAAGATTCAAAAATAACATCACATCGTAGCTTTTATTCTGCACATTTCAGTTTCACCTAGTGCACATTTCAATATCACCTAATGCACAATTCCGCTTCACCTAATTCCAATGTATCATACCATTTGTGTTGCACATTTTAATTTCACCTAATGCACATTACAGTTTCATCTAATGCACACTGAATTTCACTTAAAGCAAATCTAACTGTCCAAATTTATTCTCATATCTCTCTTAAGATCATGTTCTTATTTGAACCAAAACCTATATACTATCGTGTGTGTGTGTGTGTGTGTGTGTGTGTGTGTGTGTGTGTATAAGGTTAGGTTCTAATAAGAAGACATCTTAACGTGAGAAGTGAGAAACTTCACATTTGCCGCTTTCTGATGCACTTTTGCGCTAATCTGATGCACTTTTTGCGATATCAGAAAAGTTCTGATTAATTACGGAAATGCCACCACGTCTTGCATCACTTTTTTAATTAATCGAAACTTTTTTGTGATCGCAAAAAGTGCATCAGATTAGCGCAAAAGTGCATCAGAAAGAGCCAAATGTGAAACTTCTCACTTCTCACGTTAAGATGTCTTCTCATTTGATCCTTATTCTATATATATATATATATATATATATATATATATATATATATATATATATATATATATATATATAGATCTAGGTTCAAGTGAGAAAATAATCTTAGGAGAAAAAAAAATGATTCTTGTAGCATGCACAAAATGTAGAATAATGTTATAGAAAGTGCAAGCTAATGACATAAACATGCACTTTACAAAAGTGCAGATTAATGTAACAAAAGTGTTACTTCTTTTCATATTCATTCAATTGATAAACAATATAATGTTGATTATTTAAATTACTACTAGTGGAATTTACCTTAATTAAATTGGTGTTGCACACAATTTTAAACAAAGATGCGGCTATTCAATGTTGAAGTGCAAATCCATATATCGTTGGGTGGATTAATGGTGCAAGGTGTTTTTAATAAATGGAATGGAAGTACGTTATTTGGAAACAAAATATGAGTCTTTCAATTAATTTTCTTAATTAATAGAAACTTTCAACTATGGAATTACGTGTGCAAGCCATGAAGCCAGGTGATAACTAACAAATTAAATGCTTGATAATTAATGGTGCTAACTCTTGGGGAAAGTTGAGTTGAGCGGTTGCAAAATGGTAAAACAAATGAGATTTTTAAGGAAATATAATTAGTGGTCCGATTGCATGTATTCCGTATTATAAATCCATTGACACCTTTGCTCTTTATTATTAATTACGTTACTATTATGATTAAAATTGTCTTTCACGACTCCTCTTAATTACGACATTGCCATCACCCATTATATGTGATCTCAATCCTTGATTAAGTATATTAGATAGTTAGATTTTGTTCTTTTTTTTTCTTCTGGGTTATCATTCTCACATGAAACATTCACTATATATATATAGGGTGCAGTCCCGGTGAGAACATTCCTTAACGTGAGAAATGAGAACACTCCAAAACGGTACATGCACTTTATCCTTCACAAAACTGCACATTTATAGTTAAAGTAATGCAAAATTCTAATGTGCACATTTACGTTTAAAATTCTGCACAGACGAAATGCACATTTTCCAATTTTTTATATGCACGTTTCTGTTTTACATGATGCACAATGCTCAAATCCAACGCTCGAGAATCATTCTCATTTCTCTCATAAGATGTATTCTCATTTGATCCTTACCCTATATATATACACACAAAAATAAAATTCAAATGACCCTAAACTTGGGATAACAGATAAATTCCGCTAGCTTCACTAAACTTGCGCACGGTTGGAAATCTTCTGCCGGAGAATCGGTCCTTTTTTTCTCACCAAGTGTTTAGGTGATAAAAGTGGTGACAAATCCTCTCCTTAATAGCACTACAATCTCATAAAATGAAGTTCCCGCTCACCCAACTTTTCCTAACACCCGTCCGATTCTCATAACTTAAATCCACGGTTTCTGAATCCTTATACCTTTCTCTTCCATTTCTTTTCCTTATCTCTTCTTCCCGCATGCTGCTTCCTTAAAATTCTTGGAAATCTAGCTACATCCACCATCTCCCCGGAAATAAGCATTTAGGCGAAATCATGTGGAGTAATCTGCCCGGAAATCATTCTATAAAGGAATGAGTATTTTTTCGTTCAGAATCGTTCTTCATCCACTTCTTAGATTCGTCCATCTTTTCCGAAATCCAGCTGATTCAAACTGAGTTCAAGGTAAATTCTTCTTCTAAATCATATAATCCATCTTTGATTTTTAACTGATTTCCTATTTGCTAGGTTTACAGGGAGATGGCCTTTAGTTCAAAAGTTTATTGCCCAACCTTCATCCCCGTAGATCATCCATATCGGGATTCACCTTCGGATCAATTTCTCCTCCAATTCTGGGTGGAGCTCCCCGGTCAATCTCCTGGTTCTTCGTAGCTACGAAGTGCCTTTACCAAGTAGAAGTGCTCAGGTCAGTATTTTCTTGAAATTGAGCCACGCTCATGGAGTAGATCATGGGATTGGGATACTTGTAATTTCTTACTCTTCTAACAGGTTTACAAGTTGACATGAATTCTGAGAGTATAATTTGCTGATTCCAAGAGTGCTCAGTTAATATATCAGTTTGACATGCCCTTTCAGTTCATGAGTCCACATACCATCCTCTCATTTGGAAGAAGGTCAGCCCGTAGTCTGAGCTGAGTGTTTGCAATTGCTTAAAACAAAACTTTTCAACTTTTTTTGTTTTAAAAAAAATCTTCAAATGTACACGATAGAGCACACCATACCAGACAAACATAATGATTAGGCATATGTCATATCATTGAATGGGTAACCTTCAAAAGAGCAACACACCTTGGAAGGGCAAGCTACCACCGGGCCAGGTCATTTTTCTTAACAACCACACTGTAATCAAGCGGAAAGAGTTCAACAGAAAAAAGTAACAAAAACTAAAAGAACTAAAAAAGAGCTGAAGCAAAAAGGGGACTGTACTCCCACTAAAAGGAGCACAAACAGATAAACAATAACACTCATGTCTCCTGCTAGCAAAATGATTTTGCTAGAAAGATTTAGCTTCTAACTTTAGTTTTGTTTTACTTAAACAATGTCTGTTAAGTTAATTTCTTTTTCTAGAGTGAAATCTGAAGTGTAAGGTAAATAAAAACCTGCTGCTTTGTTTGTAAGTATATGCTTAATAAAAAGGGTATAACCTTGACTGTTGAGTGTTAATTCATGTTGTTGGCATGTATTTACAAAATCACCATTAATAGTTCACTTGAAATAGAAGTAATAGTTAATTGTTTAACCTGCTAAGTTAAAAGATAGAAGTAATACTTAGTTCCACCTTAATTCTCGATTGATGCTCTTTAATTAGTGGTGTTTTTTGTAAGTCTAGAAACTGTGCTTATGTGTTATTTCATTGCATTGTAGATCTAAGAAGATTTTTGACCCCAGATTCATTCACACTTCTTAAACTATTTATAATTCAAAGCTTTCTTAATGTTATTAAAGTTTACATAGATGGTATACGATTCATATGTAAAGTTTTAAACCTTATCTAATAAAACTAATGTTCTTGATTTATTTTCTAGACTATCGTGATGTATGGGCTAAAACACTTTGATACGGAAGATAGTCTGTTATCTTTCAGCATATCTTATTCATTAGCTTAATATAAGCTTCTAAGCTTCACTTCTTACTCTTCTTTCATCTGTTAAATTTCTTTGTCTTATTTCTTTTTTCTGATTTCTCTTTGAATTGTCAAGGTTCAATGCTTTGTACTACTGCTGAATTACATGCCCCTTATCTAAGAAAGATCTAGCTTCTAACTATAGTTTTGTTTTTCTTAACCAATGTCTGTTAACTTACTTTCATGCTTTGTGTTTATTTGCGGATAAATTAAGAAAGCCAATTTCTTTACTTTGAGAATTCTTAAGCTTCACATTTACTTTGGACAAGTTATATGTTTACTTCTTCAATATCTTTGATATGGTTCTCTCAGTCTTCATCCAAAATCTTCTTCATTTACTTTCTTCTTCCCATAACATTTCAAAATACAATAATGGCCTAGGAAAAATAATATATGTCAACTACAACCTCTAATCTCATGCAGTTTTTTTAATCTATAGATTCATTAAAGTAATAATCTGATTAATCTACTGCTATGTTTCTTTTTGCTACTACTTTAGTCATATGAGTTTCAATGTTAGTTTGTTTCGGGGTTTTTGGCATTTTGAGTTTAATTCCATTTTTGGAACTCACTTCTAAGAAGAGGATATGGTATTTGATCAAGCATATAAACACAAAATGTGGAAATGAAAGTGGTATGCTTGGGTAGCTCCTCTTCTCTTATGATATTAACCTGAAATTTCTCAATTTTCCTGCAAAAGTTAGTTTTTTTTTATAAAAAAAAATATTTTTTAATTTACGGCATATTTTATTTTTAGCGGTTTTAATCAAGGCCATGTGTATAATTAAATGAGGCGTAATTTATTTACAGTTTTAATCTTAGGCACAATCCTCCCCTTGATATATGCATGATTTTTAAACCTTCCTTCATACTCCGTATAAGATTTTCCATATTTACTTTGCTTGGTTTGCTTAAATAGTTACTCTGCTAATTAAGGCATGATTGACTTAGACAGTTTTAATTTAAGGCAGCTTTTATTTTAAACATTTTTAATCTAGGTCGGAATTAATTTGAATTTTATATTTATGACAATGTGTACGATAAAGACCGAATTTATTCAGACAATTTTAATTCAACGCAAATTTTAAAAAATGGTCTTTTTTTAAAAGGCTTTTTTAATGTAAGGCATATTTTATTTTTATAAAAGTTTTTTTTTATAAAAAAAGGTCTTTTTTAAATTTACGCCATATTTTTTTTTGGCAGTTTTAACCAAGGCCATGTGTATAATTAATTGAGGCGGAATTTATTTACAGTTTTAATTTAAGGCACAATCCTCCCCTTGATATATGCATGACTTTTAAACCTTCCTTCATATAAGATTTTCCATATTTACTTTGTTTGGTTTGCTTAAATAGTTACTCTACTAATTAAGGCATGATTTGCTTAGACAATTTTAATTTAAGGCACCTTTTATTTTAAGCAGTTTTTAATCTCAGTAGGAATTAATTTGAATTTTTTTATGGCAATGTGTATAATAAAGATCGACTTTATTCAGATAGTTTTAATTTAAGGCAAATTTTATTTCTACTCATTTTGAATCTCGGTAGTAATTGTTGCCAAAAAAAAGATCTCGGTAGTATATGAACTTTTTTGTTTGGGTATTTTTTCCCTACTTAAGTACTTTATTTATATTTTTCAGAACACAATCTTCCCCTTAAGATATGCACGACTTTAAAACCTTCCTTCATTAAAGATTTTCCTCATTTAATTTGCGAGGTTTTTTCGCAAATACTTACTCTTTACAAAATCATAGGAAACAGTTATATATAGCCGCCTACCAGTGCATACCATCATAATTGTGTCAAACCATTCTACCACTTATTTAGGCCAATTTTTTTCTATTTTCTTGGTCTGCTGCAGAACTTACATCTGTTAATATTTTCTTTCAATTATATTTTCTTCCATAACATTTTCGTTTTACAACATTCTCTAGATCTTAAATGGCTCCAAAATTGCTTAAACTGGCTGAAGTCACTGGAATACTTGAACCCCATGATGCGATATTGGTTCGTGTTGTTCGCAAGTGGATTGTTCATTACAAAGACACAGAGAAGGGAGTCCGTTCTTTAGAGCTTTTGCTTGAAGATGAGAAGGTATTTGACCATACTTAAAATAGTTTTATATAATATGTATACTTTTGACAGAGTTTAATCTTACAGTAGTATTAATATTGTAAAATATAATAATAAATAATATTGAAAACCGATTAATTTGAAAAATATATTCAAATTATTCATATCCTATACTATATTCGCACTATTTCAATTAAGCTTTATAACAAGTAAAAGTTAACATGTTTTTATAACATTTACACTTACTTTATTAAATAAAATTTACAACTCAGTAAGTCCAATTATAATTTCGGTGAATTTTACATCTCAGTAAAATTCTTTTGACTCATTTGTGCCCATTGAGATGAAGAGTTATACTATTTCGATGGTTATGCTATTTTAGAAAGTGCCTTCATATAAATTTTCCGTGAATATTACATCTGAGTATATTTTTGTTTTAAAATTCTTGATGGTTATGCTATTTTAGAAAGTGCCTGCATAGAAATTTTTTATTTAAAAGCCCTCATAATGCATTAAATCTACTTTAAGTAGAAGTTCCGCTTAATAGATATTATATGATATTCATCGACTGGTTGTGATGACTGATTACTTTGGAATATGTAATCGTGATCATCCAGTTGACACGCACCAACAAACGCTATGGTAGGACAAACCTACATACACTTGCATCTATCAATTTATCGCAAAGAATTATTACTTTAATTAATACTTTACTTATATTTCTTTTCAAAAACTGAATTTAGGTGAGCAGATGGGGGTCTCAACATCATATAATGCCTCAAAGGTTCTCCTTGACGTCAATGTCCCTTATATCGAAGGGGTTCGAACCAAGTAATATTGATAACGATCTTCATGGCAACCTTCAATAAGCTTTGTCAATCTATTCATGTGAATCTTTCTTAATCCTCACATGGCAATCTAATATTGTAACACACTTTACCTTTGTTTTCAACCTTGGTAAGTTGGTAATGGCGTTTTAAACTTAGTATTGTCATCGACTCATCAATGGTGAACAAATAATGCAACCACTTCAAGTCATACAAATAACACATGATTACTAAATTAAAACACTCTTCATAGTTGTAAGTGCATATGTTGATCCAGCCTTGCATATAGGGTGATTAGTGTCAAAATATTGTAGAGTAGAGACCATGATAAGTGTGAATATTGATAATATTGATAATGTCCATGATAAGTGTGCAGTATGTAGCAGATTTAAAAAAACACTTTTAGCAATTATTTCAATCTATTGACATTTATTGAAATTACTAAGGATGTTGGATATGGGCTCATCACAATCCTTGAGCTCGACATCATCACGAGCTGCATTAAGTGATGATAAAGAAGTTGGAATTGTCAAGATGTTGTCTGAACTACAAACTACTAAGGAGGTATATAATCATTCAATTTATTTCTGAATTTCAAATTCTCGCACTCTTATACAGTATGTTTATCATTTTCATTTGTGAACAATGTACACTTGGAACAGGCTCGTGGGTTGTGGTTTTATGGGAAGATAAACGCTATTCTGAATGCTACCAGTTGGGCTTATATGGGATGCTTCAAAAGGTCATATTTAGTGATAGCCTCCAAGACAGTCATATTTAGTCACAATTAGATTCTTAATTAATCATTACATTTATTTAGATGTTTACATATCTAAATAAATAACTTAAGCTACGAGGAAAGGACATACTTAAGCTGCGATTCAGCATCTTCCTTCTGACTCAGATAACGAGCTCTTTCAAGACATTCATTCTCCAGAATTTCTTAAGAGCATCAAATGTTCTGGTGTGCCAAGTCATGAACTGAAGTTATAGGTGGGTGTGTCTGTGATGCTTATGAGAAACATAGATCACACTGTTGGGTTATGCAATGGCACGAGACTTATGGAAACTAAACTCGAGACTCATATTATTGAGACTCAGATGATGTCAGGATCAAATGCTGGTGAAAAATATCTTATTCTCAGACTTAGTTTAACTCCTACGGACTTGAAGCTCCCCTTCACGTTTCAGCACAGACAATTTCCTCTTATGGTTAGTTATGCGATGATGATTAATAAGAGTCAAGGACAATCGTTAGAAAGGGTTGGTTTATTCTTGCGGCGTCCGGTTTTTACTCACGGACAGTTATACGTTGCGGTATCGAGAGTTACAAATCCATCCGGGTTAAAATTTGTCATATGTGACGATGATGGTCAACCAAGCAATACTGCTCTAAATGTTGTTTATAAATAAGTGTATAACAATTTATAGATTTTTTCATATGTCATTTCTTATATGTTAAATTCTATCCTTCGAATGTTTAAATTATAGTTCTATTATCATTCAGATCCTTACATTCTCGATGAAATGTTTTCCCGTGCAACGCACGAGTTAAAAACTAGTACTTTCAATTTAGTCACTCCAATTCAAGTGACAAAGCTGGTGAGTATAGTCACTAGGGCTTTAGATGCCTGATTTAAGTGCCTAATTCAATCCTTTTTTTGTAGTGGGTGCATTTTATCCTTCACAAAACTGCACATTTATAGTTAAAATAATGCAAAATTCTAATGTGCACATTTACGTTTAAAATTCTGTACAGACGAAATGCACATTTTCCAATTTTTTATATGCACGTTTGACGTTTCTGTTTTACATGATGCACAATGCTCAAATCCAACGCTCCAGAATCATTCTCATTTCTCTTCGAAGATGGTATTCTCATTTGATCCTTACCCTATATATATATATATATATATATATATATATATATATATATATATATATATATATATATATATATATATATATATATATATATATATATATATATATATATATATATATATATGGGTGAGTTCTAATACAAAGGGGTCTTCCCATGAAAAGTGAGAAGTGATCTAAGCCCTTGATCACTTCAAAATGAATGGAGTGGATCAAAACTCACGGTAAACCAAAATGTGTAATACATAATAGTAAAAGTGCATATGTCATATCTAAGAGTGCATATTCACCTCCTAAAGAAATAACACAAACGATTTCTATACTTATTGTTTTCCACCCCGAAAAGTGATGCACTTTTGTGTTACTCCAATGCACTTTTTCTCCATACTCATGCACATTTTCATTTGTACTATTGGCACCGAATTTTTTAATATTACACTACTGGCACCGAATTTTCCATTCTAAAATTGATCTGATTCATTCATTTTCTCATTTTAACGGCTAAGATTACTTCTCATTTTTCATATAAATAGTACTTTGTATTTGAACCTCCCTCCCTCTCTCTCTCTCTCTCTCTCTCTCTCTCTATATATATATATATATATATATATATATATATATATATATATATATATATGGAAGAGTTCAAATAAAAAGACCTCTTCCCGTGCAAAGTGCGAAGATATGCACTTTTGCATCTTTCGCTTGCACTTTTGCGTGTTTCTGTTGCACTTTTTCGCGGTAACGAAAAAGTGCAACATATTTACAAAATTGCCACCGCGATTTTGGTCGAATTTTGTGCAGTTTTGGCTCATTTTGAACCATTAGATGTGGAAATGAATGCACAAGATTCATTCTCACTTTACATGGGAAGAGGTCTTTGTATTTGAACAATCCCCTATATATATATATATATATATATATATATATATATATATATATATATATATATATATATATATATATATATATATATATATATATATATATATATATATATATATATATATATATATATATATATATATATATATATATATATATATATATATATATATATATATATATATATGGTGCGGCTCTAGTGAGAATGATGCTTAACGTGAGAACGTGAGAACGGTCACATTTTAAATCAACGTGGTACACAATGAAGCTATTCTATTGCACATTTTCAATTTGCTCGAATTAAGCCTATATTAAATAAACACGGTGGCGTTTTGGTAAATGTTGTAAAAATGCGAAAATGTGCAATATACAAGTTTCGTCGTGCAACACGTTAGGGTAAATGTGTCGTTCTCACGTTCTCACGTTAAGCATTGTTCTTATTTGATCCTTATATATGTAGAATAAGGATCAAATGAGAAAAGTGTTTATCGTAAGAAGTGAGAATGCATCTGGTGCGTTCAATTTAAGATCTGTGCGTCAGATTAGCGAAAACTGCACGGGAAAGTACAAAAAATATTTGAAAAGTGATGCTAGACGCGGTGGCATTTCCGTAATTAATCATAACTTTTCTGCCATCGCAAAAAGTGCATCAGATTAGTAAAAAAGTGCATCAGAAAGAGGCAAATGTGAAGCTTCTCACTTCTCACGTTAAGATGTCTTCGTATTAGAACCCGCCCTTATATTCCACAATTCAGTAATTAAATTCAGCCGCTTCATATAGAATTACATCAATTTCAGCCGATTCAACACATACAGCCAGTTACAATGTTTTCAAATTGACTCTTCAAATCATATTAATATTATATTGATTTTTTTTTTGTTGTTCGGTTGTGCCCACTAAGTCATCGTACTATCTGCCCAATATTCTTTAATGTGAATGGGTTTCAACTTAGTGACCTTCTCTTTGAGAGTGTAACAGTAATGTCATCGAACCACAATGTGCTTGAAAATCGATTCGATATAGTAGTATTAATATCATATCAATATTCATATTTATAACCCGTTTGGTAACATCTATTTTCATTTTATGAGCAACCTTTATTGGCTTACTTTTTGTTAAATACGTAATTTCTAATTTCACATGCTAAATTGTGTAATAGTCAGAATAAGTAAGGTTTAAATTACTTCTCTAACTGAAGTGGCTATGGTTACTGTAGTGGACCATTTTACTTAGTTTTCATATAATCTTTTCTTTTTTCTATTAATAAAAACAATTATTAGTAAAAAAATCTTACTAAATTTTGCATATTACTGAAGGACTAAATTTGTTGTTTCATATTTTTTTAGTATAAAATTTTGTTACTAAATTTTGTTCATAAAATGTTTCCCGAATAAAATGTATACCACAGGACTAAATTTTATGTTTTAGTTTTTTTCGTATTTTGTTAATATAATATTCATTCTTCTTTAGTTGCAACATTCTCATTTTACGCTTGTTAAATTAGCGCACAACTTTGATCGTCATTGTAGTTAACTATCTATTAGTTAAAAAATTAAAAATTATATGAGAAAAGTTTGTAATGAGATGAACTTAACAATATTTTTCAAAAAGAAAATATTTTTCATACATTAATAAAAGAAATATAATCAGACTAAAGCATATGAATAATGTAAAAATTTAGATGATGCAACTAAAAAATGGGTTAATTTTTTTAGGCGTGGGCGCGTGGCAACACAAAAATGGGTGACTATATCTGTTGCCAGGTGACTAGTCAACTACTTGACTTGAGCACTTGACCACCATTTCAGGCGACAAATGCGTACTTGCACGGGTAGCTCAGTTGGTCGAGTGGTGGGAAAATTGGACCAAGTGATCAAGGTTCGAAACCCGCAGCGACCGTGTATAAGGCTTACCACCGCTTTGCTGACTGAGTCACGGTGATTAACCTCCCAACCATCCTGTCGGGTCGGGGTGGGGGGCTTGGGGTTGAGCATTCAACCTTTTGGACCAAGGCGACAAATGCGTTCTCATAGCTTTACAAACGACGTGATTAACCTTATTTCAGGTTCAGCCTTATTTCAGGTTCTGTAACCTCCAAGGTTGACTGAATCACCGTGATTAATCTCTCCACCATCCTGTCGGGTCGGAGCGAGGGGTCTTGGGGTTGGGCATTCAACCTTTTGGACCAAGGCGACAAATGCGTTCTCATAGCTTTACAAACGACGACATTTTATTGAGTCTGCTATTATTTGAAAACATTTTACAAAATAATAATTAATTTGATAGAAAAGAAGTTATTATATATATATTGAAAAATCGATCTCAAGATAATTAGTTTTTTCCAAACTCAAACATATAGGAAATGATTTTTTGTTAAGACATGAGGTTTTATGTTAAAAGGTCAACCTGATAGGAGGAGTATCTCATGTCTTAATATAGCACTTTGTTGAGTCAAACTTTTCCGGTGTTTGATTCTAACACCCCGCCTCACGACCAGACACTTCGTCTGGATCGGATCGTACCGTCAGTCATTTTTTCGTCGATTCGTCATTATCATTTTTTTATCGTGTCGTCATTTTCATAAGGGCCCCCGGCCCACACCATGATTATGGATCGGTTTGGCTCTGATACCATGTTAAGACCTGAGATTTGATCCTAAAAGGTCAACCTGATAGGAGGAGTAGCTCATGTCTTAATATAGCACTTTGTTGATTCAAACTTTTTCGGTGTGAGATTCTAACATTTTTCCAAAGACTAGAGCATGGTTTCCGAATACTTTTTCAAATGCATTGGCGCAGAACTACCTCACAAAAATGAAAGGGGTATTTTGAGTTTGCACCCCACTTTATTGTTGAAATTAGACTTGGCACCCCATTTTTGAAATCTTTAGTATTTACACCCCAACCCTGTATGAAAAGACTAAAATACCCCTCACTTAACAATTTTGTTGGCCTTCAACATATTTCTGATCGAGGGGCATTTTTGTCTTTTCATACGGGATTGGGGTGCAAATACTAAAGATTTCAAAAACAGGGTGCAAAGTCTAATTTCGACAATAAAGTGGGGTGCAAACTCAAATTAACCCAAAATGAAATCAAATTTCTACCGTAAAAATAACATGAACATGTATAATCAAAACCCAATGGAATAGACATAACATATCAATAAATGTAGGTGGGGAAACAAGAACAAAAACATGAAAATCGAAGGAAAAGAATGATAAAAAAACAAAAAAAAAACTAACTAATCATTAAAACATATATTATCCTTCGTTCTTTTTTAGTTGCAACATTCCCTTTTTCACGTTTACCGATGCAAATATTTGAGCCTCTTTATATTTAATTCACTATTAGTAAAAAAACTTAAAAATCAAATTATGAAACTTTATAATGGGACGAATTCAACAATATTTTTCAAAAAAAAATAATTCACATACGTTAATAAATAAAATGTAGTCAAAGTAATGTACATGAATAGTGTGTAAATTTCAATGTTACAAATAATATTATACGGATGGAGAATAATTTATCATGCACCCATTCAAATCACTAAGAAAGACATTTTTATCCAAAAATTTATTGATTTTTTATAATGGAGTTGCTCGTAAGTGA